TCGTCTCTCTGAGGCTGTCAGGATATCTCCCTTTATCGTAGTTTGGCTTTCGGTTTCGTCACAACATGACTTGACTCTGAAAAACAAACAAGCTTAAAAAGAACTATACCCTAAATAATAAATCCTTCGATGACAGTGAGTGTTAGAAAAAAAGACAAACGAAGTGATGTGATGAAGCCATTTCTGGGCCTTTTGTTGTGAGAAGCAAAAGGCCTGACACTGTCCCTTTAAGAGAGCAGGCCCCTGCTCCAGCCATTAATAATTGTAATGCCTTTTTATTATTGTTAGGGATAATGAAGGGATGAGAGTCATATGGGGGCCCCAGACCATACTTTGCCCTGAAATGTTTTCAATTAACTTTTGGCACCAGAGAAAAATGGGAATGTTGTGTGTTTTTTTTCATGCGGAAATAGAAAAAAGTCAACTGGGGCCTTTGGTGCCGGGACTAGAAGCTCATTAAAATTGCCTCATCATAACTCAAACTGTTGCCCGGCCTACGTCCCCTCTGCTGCACCTGAATCCTCTGTCCTCTAGGTTACACTGGGGAAAGCAAACAAGCCATAACATAAACTTTAGACAATATTAACTCAGAACAGTGATGTGACCACGTTACTTTTATAAATTGACTTCTGGTGTAAAGTAACAAACTGAATAACCAACTTAATCTCAACATAAATGTTTGGGGGGTCAAATTATCTCGTCAGACATTGTCCCTTAGTTCCGTTGGCATCACAGGCAGCAAATGAACTCCCTTCCTAAAAGTCCGAGTGGAACGTTGCAAGACATTTTTAAAACAGCTCGGCCACCAGACCGACTTATTCTTGGTGAGGACATTTGGAAACTCCCGCTCCTGGAATAAAGAGAACTGCTTCTAATTCAGTTCTGCTCATGTGAACCCAAAGAGACGTGCAGGGTGAACAGAGAAGACAAAGTTAGATTTACATGATAAAAGCAAAACCATTTTCTCCACAACCTGATATAAATATATACTTACATGCAGCTGAGAGAAACATGTAACTCTGTCAGAAGGCCACTTTCATCCAAACAGCAGAATAATAATGTCTTGACTTTTGCGGATGCTGTGATGTGTGATCTTAGCTTTTGATTTCTTGAGCTGAACTCATTCCAAAAGCTAAAAGAATCAGCTGATTTATCTTTTAGTCCATCATTGATGTTTGTTTGAGTTATTGTCAAGGAAATATCAAATCTTTGCTGATCCTGATTTCTAGGGCTACATCCACAGAACTTTCTTTCGAATATGCATGAACTCGGATACGAGTCGACACAACTCCGGGATTTTAGAGTTGCTAAAACAGGAAAGTTTGGAAACCCTGCTAGCTCTGTTTTTAGTTGGAAAACTCTGCCGCTATCTTTTAACATGAACAGGCAGAAACTGAGATTTTTGGAAATGACGATGTAGACACTCACAGCCACTTGCTGATTGAATCTTTTCGGTCACATTACCTTCCCTGATTAGTAAGACTCCAATCACATCACCCCCTTCAGGAAGAAAACCAGCGGCACTCACCTCGGCTTCCAGTGTAGAACATGGATCATCAATCACAAGCATGGCTGCTGACTTTGCTAACAGCTGTTGTGCAGTTAAATTTCTACATTTTATAATGTTGCAACTGAATTGGAGCTGTTAGTCAAGCAATCTCTGACAATTCTGCTTCTAACAATATCAATAGCTTCTGTCAAATATCTTTCAGGTGTTAGACTTTTAGTTGGAAGTGTTAATAAGTGTCCATAAATCAAAAACAAACGTAGAAAACATTTGACAATAATAAAATAAAGTTTGTTGCAGCTCTACTATATTTAAATTGATAAAATCCCCCTGCTGGCAGCTGTAAAGGATTTATCTATAGGTATAAACTAATATTAACTATCCAAACATCCAAGTGTGCAATTCAGTCAGGGTTTTTTTTGTTGCTCATACATATTTCTTTTCTTTCCTGAAGGGAGGATTGTGTTACTACTGTTTTCAAAAGCTACATTGTTCTTATCATGTCACTAGATTGGGCGTACACAGTTCAGCTTTGACTATAAGTAAACAAACTTGAGCAAGAGCAAAGTGCAATGTGTGAACCCCAGAGACTCACAATAATTGGAGGTTGGGGGGTGGATTTGAAGTGGGTATTTGTGTCCCCAGCTTTAGAGAGGTGGGAAAGGTGGAGGAGGGGCTGATTTATGATTGGGGCTTAATGGGGGAAGGGTCTGGTTTGGGAGAAGGGCTGCGCTGGGCCTGAATGTCAGGGATTTCAAGGCTGTCTGATTAATGATGCAAAGAGGAGAATACTTAATCGGCCAATCAGAGCAGGTTCTCTCTACCCGCAAAGGCAGGACAGCGATTGTCCTTCAGTGGCCTCCCCTGTTTCCCCCCTGCAGGCCAACCAAAGAGCAGTGGTGCAAAGTTTTCATGGAGTGAGAGAAGAGGAGGAGGAGGAGGAGGACACAAAACATAGCTGACGAGGGGCATAACTTTATTTCCACGGTGCTGGGACAGCTGTGTGGAGTAATCTGCCGTAGCAGCCCTCTGAAACTTCAATGCCTTTAGTGACCCGGGGAAGTGGGGAGGGGGCAGCTCCTACTGTGAGCAGGCATTTAGTAGTGCGAGGGGGCTCCTTTCACACCCTTCTAAGGGCTTTTGTTAACAAAAATATCCCTTACCTCTTCCTCGCTGAAAGCAGGGACTATATGTTTATGAGATGAGATGACAATGGGCCGCACTTTGAAAGCAAACTCAGTTTCCTACAGACTGTGAGAAACAAGTCTCAAAGTGAGGAGTTCTGGGAGTTAAGTTATAACTCAGTGGAATGATCTGCATTTTCTCAATTTATTTTTCTCCAAACATGCTTCATTAAAGTGTGAAGAGCATATCTTTGAATGTTTGTAAGGCAGAAACAAATCAACATGAAGTAATGTGAAGTCTAGGTGGTTCTACTAAGCACATAGAAGGTAAAATATTTATTTGGTATTGAAGATTTTCAAATTGAATTTGTCTGAATTGGAAAATGTGCTCTCATGTTGAAAATAGAACTTGTTATATGCCAGCGTCTTGAGTTTCTTGGATATTTAGGCCTCAAATCTCCCCTTGGTCCTCAGTTTTTAGTGTGAGCTAATATTAGTAAAAAGACAATCAGGCAGTCAATCGATGAAGAGGGGTTCATTATTTCACGCTAACTGTTCCGTTGAAGGCTGGAGGAAGAACAAAACATTTTAGGCTAAGATAATGGCCTGAGCCTGGGTTTCTGTCTGCAGTGAATGGGGTCTCCCAAGAGCTCAATAAGGTTCCAAAGTTTTACTCCATTATGCTGACATCCCAAAGGCCAGGGGCCACCACCCCCAGTGGTTACTTCTCAAGCATGCATTTATCACCCCCCACAACACACACACATAGGACTTTAGGACTTTAACTCCACGCTATTTAAGAGTTGTTATTCCCAGAAAACTTGCTGAAAGAGGAATAAGTGATAAATGAATCAGGATGACCTAAACTGATGAGGTCTTTTTTAACTATTGTTTATTGAAAATAGATAATATAACAAAGCCCTACTCGATGATACACACTATACAAACACCCTGCATTCAGTCGTGGTGCGCTATATGTTACTATCCTCTCAGAAGTCTTTCTTTTATTAAAATCTGTTGAAGATTTTTAAAATCCATCCACTCATCCATACTGCTTATCCTACAGAGTTGGGGGTGGGGGCAAATCCAGTTGACGTGGGTGAGGGGCAGGGGGGATTTAATTTTTTATTAAAGATCACAAATAATTCAGAGTCTCATTTAACATAGGTAGAGATTACACACTTTTCTTATCATGGCAATTTCCTCTTTAAAGGTCTCCGTCCCAAATACTGTGCCAGGCTGTAGTAGTAGCAGTAAACTGGCTGCTGGGTCACTTACTGCTGTTTACTTTACGGGGCCTCCTCTGGCACAAGGATCTGCAGTCATGCCTGCAGTGTTGGTGCTAAATGACTGAGTCTAAGTCTGAGAGCAAACACACAATCAAAGGCTATTAAGCTGAGCCAATATGCAAGGCAGCCTTTTTGCCCATTGTGAGGGCAAATCAGTCAGTGTTAATTATTCTTATCAGTAATGATTAGAAGAGGTTAAACACACTTCTACAAAAAGAGAAGAAATCAATATAACAAGAAAGAAAACATCAAGTGGGTTGTAGGGTTGTAGAGTGAGGATGAACAGTCATGTGGAGACTCGTCTTTAAAGCTGCTTAGTCCAGACATTTTCCTGAAACTTTCCAGAGTGGTTGTAAGTGACAATGCAAATGTGAATCAGTGGCTGCAGACATTTTTTGGAGCTTGTCTTGCCAGCCCCCTGGTAAAATGTCCACAGAATGTCCGAGTGAGCCGATGTAAGAATAGCACATGATTAACGCAAAAGTCAACCTCAAAAGAAACCAAATAATTCCGAATGACAAATGACCATGTTAGATCCATGTTGTGTTCATACCCATCTACGTATGTGGTTGGTACCATGCATACAAGTTCATGTCTGAAAATGAAAAGTGTTGTAATGTCACCATGACAGTGAGCAGACATGCAAATGAATATGTAACATTATTTATTATTGATCAGGAATAATTAACTTTGGCAATTTTTCCTACTTCCAAAAGCTTTTGAATTATTTAAAATTTATGCTGCCATGTTACATGGCCTATTTGCCAGTAGAGGGTGCACAAAGTTCTACAAAAAGCAATAATCTGCAAAGCAAATTCACCACAGAAGAAGAGCATTAACAATTAGCGTTAAGATTTATTTTGGACCAAAATAACTTGAATCATTTGCCTTGTCATGTGTTAAATCCTTGCAATTTGCATTTGCACAAATACTAATGTACTAATGTATTTCTGTTCCCATAATTCATCATATACACCATATATTTCAACTGTCATAGCATTTATGAGTACCATGTGTTTTTTCACACGTACATGTGTGAAGGAGTTTTCAGCAACAAAGGGAAACAGAACACACATAGACTGTCTTCATATAATATGATCTTTATGTTCAGTTTACGTCTAACACCTTAATCTCTGATCTCTGTCCTCCAGTTATCCACTTCTCCCTTCACCCATTCGGCGTCTGCTCATCTGGTTCTTGTTTGCACGGCACAGCCAGCTGGAATGCGTCTGTGCTTTTAAAGATGAGTTATTAGCCCATTAATACACACTGCAGCCTGCACCATGTTCAGTGAACTACAGCTGAAAGACACACAGTTTGGTTTTGGTGTGAAAAAGCCAAAGTTCTTTTGGATCTATGTCTTAATCTGATTAATGACTAAACAGGACACACTGTTTTTTTCTTTTCGGGTTACTGTGGACCATAAAAGCCGGTGCCGAATCTTGAAATGAAATACAGAAATTGTTCTTAAATGTATTATTGTTTCATTATTGAGCCATAAGGTTGCTAAATATACTGAAATGAAGAGAACTTAAATGACATAGTTACTAAAATCAACACTTTTATTCAATTTTTGTCATTTGCACTGAGTCAACTGGATCATCAGGTTTAATTTTTTAATTTTTACAACTTATATTGTATACTAAAACTTTACATTTCGATCACAGAAGGACATAAAACCCATCTATAAATGATGATTTTATGAACTGCATTATCTATTAACAACCTCAAGGTGGTACTCTTCTCCATATTCTCTATAGAGAGTGTGTGTGTGTGTGTGTGTGTGTGTGTGTGTGTTTTCATGTACTTATATATTTGTAAGGACCATTTTAAGCATAGACCCAACACTGAGTGAGGATATTTTGACTGGTCCTCCCTTTTTCAAAGGCTTATTGAGGGTTAAGATCTGGTTTTAGGGTTAGGTTTAGATTATGGTTAGGGTAAGGGGCAAGGGAATGTATTATGTCAGTGAGTGTCCTCACTAAGATAGAAGTGCGAACATGTGTGTGTGTGTGTGTGTGTCTGTGTTAGAGAGAGTGAGAAGCTGGCCATCTTCCTGTTCAGCAGAATTCATCACTGTTGGTGTCGCCCCTGCAGTTAGCGCCCGGGAGTCCATCTGTGTTGCAGTTGCGTGCCCTGGTGCGTTTCCCTCCGCTACAGCTGGACCACGCCGACCAGCACGACCAGTTACCTTCATGATTAACAGTTGGTCTCGTACCTGCAAAAACATCATGTCCAAATCAACTCAGAAAAATAAAAAGCAATATAAGTGGCGTTGGTTGTATGTTGGCATCCTGCATGCTTTGACTTATCCTCTTCCTACCTGCGTGTTGAGCTTTATCGCCCTTGAAATTCTGGCAGCCCATGCCCTCAAACAGGAAAGAGCACAGACACATGCACTTTCCATCGAGCATGGCCAGGGTACCTCCATTATGGCAGGGCTTACACTTGCACACGTTATACTCTGCTACATAGTCTGCTGTAGCTCGTTTCAGGTTGGCTATCCTGGAGTTAGCGCCAGGCATTTCCAATGGGATCAACATGTAGATGGGCTCTGGCTGCCAAAAACAACAGAATATGGGCATTAGTTCACTCGCCATTACACTGTGACGGAAAAAAACATATTACATCATCACACAATTGTATGATTTTAATAAGACTAAAGTCATGTTTTCAGCCATGAGCTCTAAAGAATTGGTTCACTAGAAGCTCTGTGAGGCTGTACTAAGAACAGGTTAGAGCTAAATGCTTATAACATGCAGTTGGCCCATAATTTTGACCATTTACTCCTTAGAATAATAACATTTGATAATTAGCAGTTAGCACACATTACAACTGAATCTGATCAGAATCATGAACCAAAATATTGGATGAAGAAAGGTTTTTACCCCAATCATGAAAAGTGAGAGTGACCCAGAGTTTTACAAATCCTCTTTGAACAGGACATGAATGTCTGAATTGAAATGTATGGAAATCTATCCTATAGTTGTTGGAAAAATTCATTAAAAACATCAAATGTCAGCTTCCCCAGAAGTCATTAGGATCCATCCTATGGAAAACAAGAATACTGATACAACATTTCCTATACAGCTCATCAGTTGTTGAAATGTTTCCCACTGGCGGACTGACACAACATTGTTATCATTACGTGACACTTTGCCGATCAACAGGTCTTACCTCACTGTATAGCAGCGCTGGGGCATTAGTGATGGTCCGTGCCCAGTTCTGATACGTAGGGAGGTCCATCACCCCATCCCGGTTTAATTTAGCTCTCATAGTGACGGCACTTTCTAGAGTGCCTCCTTTGACTGATGTCATCACCTTGTCCACCACAGCCTTTCCATGAATACTTCCTGTACGCCAGCAGCATAGCAACCTTTAGTGACTTAGAACTATTGGAACATTTGTGTAATTTTGTACATAAACTCATCACAGTGTCTGTCTTCTAAGGAAAGTAGATTGTTTTTAAAGTCTATCTTTTTACGAGCGTCCCAAGGTTATAAAATTGGGATACAGCAAATGCTTTGCAGAGATAAGGATAAAACTACAGTACCAAATCCTACACAAAGATATCTGCATTATGCCCATTACATTTTTCCAACTCAGACACTATTGATGCCTCATATTCAACTTTAGTACAGGGGCTGTGGATTTCATAGGGTTATTATGCTACAAAGGCATCGTTTCATAGAAAAATGTGGCCAGGAGGAATGATTATGAGATTTTTTTTTACAGTATATATATATATATATATATATATATGTATATAGTGTGCAAGTATTGTACTTAGATAGGCTTGACAAATCCTATAATTCAGAGTGTAATCTTGAGAAACAGGGAAAGCAGACCTTCTTCTTTCGTTGTCACGTCATCACAATCCTTTTTGCCAACGTTTCCTTTTGCGAGTTCGTCAAAATCTGCTGTGATGCCAATTTTGATGCACTCTTGAATCTTTCTCTCCGTCAGATCTGCAAGAATCAAAAAGTAAAGATGAGTACATGTTTATCACTTTATCAAGTTTAACAACATAAAAATGAGCTGAGCATTTGAAAACACACATACTTTTTGCCTTGATGGTGTCCTGGTTAAGGACATAGATCAACTCATATTCACCGCCAGACTTTCCGTTTTTTGTGTAGTGAGTTCCATAGTCTTCCAGGAAGGCGAAGTAAATACCCTTCTCATACTCCAAGGGTAAAGTGTTGATGTGCGCAAGGAATTCATCAGCCACTTTGAGGTCACGAGACCTCATCCTGTAGGTGCTCAGTTGTACTCGGCCTTTCACCCGCATGAAGCTTTTGTTCTGAGAGTGTAGGACAGAGTTATTCACGAAGCGTTCTTGCATTAAGCAATTTGTCTTTCTCTAGTTTGCTTAATGGGGCTGAACTGTTATAATCTGCTCTGTCAAGGAATTGTCCCTGGCTGACATTTACCTTAATGGTGCTGTACTCTGTGACCTCCTTGATCATAGTTTTCTTCTCATACTCGACATTTAAATCCAACTTTGCAGACGATTCGGACATGGACTCTTCACTCAGTTTGAATTTGAAGGAAAGTCCGGCATCAACTTTCACCGTCATCTCTTTCAGTATTTCCCTCAGAAGGCTGTGTGTGTCTTCGTAGATTTCTCTAGAAACAGTCTCCTCCGCCAGAGTCTGGAAAAGCCAGTTTTAGAAACATCACTGACATTATATTCATCACCGTTTAAATCACATACATGTAATAAATCCATTCTCAGATGGAAAGGAAAAACATGGTTGCAGCTAACCTCATAGTTCAGCACACCAACATTCCAGGGAAGCCTGTCGCGCGTCGCACTGTTTGGATTATTCACTATTTGGCATCTTCCGTTGAAGTAGTCATTATTGAAGGGGTTCATACGAGGATCTGATCCCAAGATGTTGATTCTGGATTATGGACACAACAGCCAGTTAATACAGGAGTACACATTATTTTATTTGTACTCAAAGCATTAGTTGGAATTATTCCCTTTGCCAAGGAGGTTATGTTTTCACCCCTGTCTGCTTGTTCTTAAGCAAGATTATACAAAAACTATTTGTTAGATTACCATTCAAATGTGTTGATGTTGTATAGGTCAGGAAAGAGATCCAGATCAAGGGGGGATCCTTAATTAATTGGTTTTCACTTTCTTTAACATTGTAAGGTCATAATTCTTGGATCTCAATGAAAAAATCTGGCAGGTTAGAGGACTAATATTTATCATTATGTACAATTTGGTGCAGATACAAATAAATAATAAATCTGAATCTGAATGTGGCCTCATTATGGGACTTTTGGACCTTGGCAGAGATATGAACTCCACTGAGTGGAATTCTAGTTGAGAAATGAATATATCTTCTTTTATTAGTTTATTATCTTTGACCATAAAAAATAAATCCCACATTTTTTAAGAGCAACTCAAATACAATGAGGAAATCAACTGTGGCTGCTTTTCTGCTTACAGTCATGACTTGACCCAGTACATTATACTGATTCTGATAACTCACTCTTACCCGTATCCTGCAGTTCTGCCTTGCTCATTGTTTTCCAGGACCGCCGACTTACATGGTTTGTTAGTAGGATCACAGTCCTCATCTGATCCATCTTCACAGTCATAGTCTCCATTGCACATTAGTCTCTTTTTAATGCAAGAACCTGTTCAGATGACATCAGATGGAGGTTAAATTGATGGAGTCTAATACATCAAAGGGAGATCTACTGTGGGAGAGTGTAAGTACCTGATTCACACTGGAACTCTGAGTCCAAGCACTGAGGGGGCGGTGGTCGAGCACATTCTGTATCTGCTGTACAGTGCTCCCTGTCCCCGAGTGATCCCTGGCACGACTCACCTCCGAACTGGCCAAACACTTCCACGGTTCGAGAACGTCTCTGTGGCATTGAGAGGAGAATGGTTTGAAATATGAAGGGCATTGACAAACTGTATAATAGATTTTGTAAAAGTTGATTTTCTTCATTTTTTATTTGTGATCATTGATACAAATTTTGCACAAGAGGCACAGAGAAAACACTATGTGTTGTTTTTTCTTTGGCTTTCTTGTCCAGATAAGGAAATCTTACTGGCAGACAGTAATTTACTTTGCCCACTTTTGCTCATTACTTAATTCTTCATATCAATAGTTTTTTAGCTAAAGTTTCATCATAAGGGCCTAATTAGTCTACATGGTAAATATCTGTATTGTAAGAAAGTCCGATTCTGGTCATAACTCAGTTTTGACTGAATATGCCATAACTGTATTTTACCTTTATAAGGCAGTTTGTTACATACTCACTGGTGGACTTCTCTGATTAGACTAAGTTAAAATTTGAGTTTTGCAGTCTTGGCATTCAAAACTGTTCCAATGATCTCACCCTGGTGTTTGTGCACGGATCACATAAACTCCACTGTGACCAGAGGCCCCATCTACAGTTCACTCCTGGTGGATCAGGAAGCTCCACTGCCCTGAAATACACACATTAGATAAAAAGAACTAAGATCAAGAGTTTGATTAAAAAACAACATCCTTATATGTCTCATATGTTCAGGCTTGATTGAAGCAGGACATATACATACATTCCTTCCCCAAGAAGTGCCAGAGTCAGACACAGGCCACAGAAGCCCAGCTGGAGAACGACCTCAGTCCTCATGATGAACCTTTGAAAAGATAAATGGTGTTGAGTGTCTGTTCTCTTTTAAGCTGCGGCTCTGTCAATGATTATCCAACTGTGGAAAGTCAATAGTTTGGATTTCAGGTGCAGTGACATTGATTCAGTGTTTGGAAATTCCTTAACATGAGTACTGTGTTTGTTTGGAGTGAAACGTTTTACTCATCCAGTCTGTATGTTTTGTTTTTCACAGCAAAGCCTCTTCAAGAACATTAGATTATGTAAAAGTGATGATTCATCTGTTATCATTGACCCTGCAAGTTTTAAAATTGCATTTGTCTGCAGGGAAAAGTTGGACAAAATTAAAGAAATGGCTTCAATTAATAACACACAAGTGAATTCAGTTTGTTCAACTGAAAGTTATATTAACACGGTTGCTAACTTTAATTTGGAAAAACTCAAAACGCTCATGTATTGTTTTTAGTTCGAGAACACTTGTCTTGATTGCAGACAATTTGTTCATTTCTGTGTTCCCCAGATGGTGCAATCATTTTGGCTAGTTTACCGCACAGCAGAGCAAATATTTGCAGGAAAAGGTTTTTGACTGTTGTAATACTTTGACAAGATATATCCATGGTGTATTTAGGTCATCATCAGAAGTTGGGGAAGTGAATGGTAGGACGTTCAAAACTCAACCTGGTTGATCTATTTGCCCACATTCATGATATTTAAGAAATTGTAACATGAATGGGGTTTTCTTGACTCTGATTAGAAGTGTATGTACTGACCTGCTATGCTTTGTCCACAAGATGGCAACATTGAACAGACCATTAGTATTGGTGTCTTGTGTCCACGTCTTATAGTCTCACACTGTTTATGTATCTTGAGTGAAGCAAAACACAGACACAGAGACTATAATTATAACATGTAGTCGAGTGCATGTTTTCACTAATGTGGCTCTGTACCAGGTCAAACACACTTTTCTTATGTAAATATATCAAAACAAGCCTTGAGTCATTTACAGGAAGTTTTAAACTGTTGCACCTAATGATCTGTCATGTGATCTCGGAGGCTGTTGCTGAGTCTGCACTAGTTTGTTCTTCAAAAGGAAGCAGTGCAGTGTGTGTAAATGACAAAAAAAAAGGGAAACTTCTCCGAATAGGCATTACTGGATTTAAATGTAGACAGGATTTTTTTACGGTTATGATCAAACTAGCTAATTGTTCATGATCAGGTGAGTCTTGATTCATGGATACAGGAAAACAGCAGTGTGGACAAGCCGACAAATATCCACTTTTATCCATCTGAGAGAGTGTGAAGCTGAGAATACTCAGCATGTTGACGTATATTTTCTGCTGACTTAAATAAACACAGTCAGACTATTCCCTGATGTCTCCAAAGTCAATGTGGGGCCTGCCCTGTCCTCGTTTTTTCGCTCTATCTCTGAGCAGAGCTGGGGTAGACTGGGGGCTATGTGGTCATGGCCTGCTGGAGGGGCACAAATATGTGCTGAAGTCACCACTTTTAAGAGGTTCGGCAGTTTCCTCCCAGCTTTTTCAGGAAACCAGAGGGTAGGTAAGGTGCTTGGCCAATATTTCTCCTGACTAGAAAGACTTCCTGTTTTTGGGGGGGAGGGGGTGTTGGCTGGAACTGTGTGGAAACACTCGAAGAGTCTGGTTTTACTGTAATTTACACACTATATCCCTTCGAATCTTGTCATCATGTACAACCGAATATGATGACGTTGCTTCCTGCGCCGCCACTTGTGCTCCAGCTATCTGTATTTTTAGACTGAAATGGACAGGAGCCATGATGGCAGCTGAGAGTTAAAAAAACAGAGAGGATAAAAATCTAAGACTACCTCAATTATGGACTGGAGATAAGTGGCTATCTTAGGTTCTGGCTGTGGTGGCAGCTGGTTCCAGGAATCACGCCCAAAATGCTTTATGTTTGGATTGTGGCCTTCCTGTCATAAACGAGGGAAAGGACACTTCCCATTAGATTGTCTCAGTCAGCATTCTGTCATAATAATAAGTCCTCTCATGTGCCATCTGTAATCTGACTCTTGATGAAGGGTGCCCCAAACTTCTCCCCGTCCTCCCAGAATCCCTGCTGTAATGAAACGAAAATCCACATGAGTAAGTAGAACATGACCTGACCTCCTGTATCCACATGTGTGGTTTTGCTGGATGTTGCGCTGATCTAAACTGACGATGAATCACATGCCGAAGAACAAGGAACCAAGAAACCTTAACGTCATTAGACAGTCATGCAATGGTATGATACACATCACTGAAAGGATGATTTGAACATTCTCCAAATCTGAGTAACAGAAAAGTATATGCTGATCACTACTCTAACTGAATGATCAATAAAAACATGTGGAACAACTGAAATTCCAAAGAACACCATAAAAGGTTGTGAAAAAGATAGTTCCCTTGCTTGGTGACTGTAGGGGAAAACAGACTCTCTCATCTCGTGAATTATCTGGTTTCTGTGGGGCTCATCTCCAACAAAACCAGCCTCAGTCAGCAGAACACAGGATACAAAGCCAGGAAGAGCGTCCTTCCTCTGTCCCAATCCCTCTCGTTTCTTAACTCTCATCCCACAGCACACTGTTCATCTCTTTAACATCACACACTAAGGGTTTTTGTTTGCTCAAAGAAAATCATCAGTTTGCTGTGTCTGAGGTGCCAGAACTATGCAAATATGATGAGGCTCTGGGTTGAAGATGTGATTGTCACGTCTGGCTGCTGTCACGTCGTGGTTTGCGTCTGACACGGCTTCAGTTTTACGGCATCAACAGGTTGACGTATGGTGGCAGAGATGTCGTCTGTGAAATAAAACAGCATTCGTGTTCATTTCTCATCATTTTGGGTTGAAGACTAAGAGGTAGAGAGCTTGTGAAATGAGATTGAAGAAATACGGCTCAGTAGCTTCCTTTGAATCAAAGCTCAAAACATACATTTATCCTACTGCCTCCCCTGATTTGACCTAATTATGGTTTTATCATTGTGTTGGGTGGCTTAAATATCTGTCTCACGTCTAGTGTTTTTATTGACAGTTTTTTTTATGTTGTGTGTTTTTATTTGTGACGCACTGTGTAACTTTATTTTGAGAAATGCTTGACAATTCAAAATATAATTATTATTACCGTACTGTATTATTGTTTTTCTTTTTATTATAGATACAAATAAATCTTTGTGTATAACAATAAATACAACCATAAATCTGTGTATATGAGAAGTAGCCTAGTAAGCCCATTAAGGGTTACATTAGGGTCATTAAGGATTCTGTTGCTCCTCATGATGTCAGTAATAATATACACATATTTCATTAATGAACAAAACACACCACAGCATCAGCCGTTATCTTGGGATTACAGCTTATGCAGAATATATGTATACATATATACTCATTTTAAAGTCCTCTGTAATTCACTGTGATGCGGCGGCTCACCATAATAATAAAAACAAGCACATTTAGTGAAGTGAAACCAGTTCACAGGAAGAAGCCACATTGACATCATTACTCATGTCGGTGCACATCTCAGTGTTTATGTTTACTCTAGCTATTACATACGGGTCTTGTGTGTGTTGTTTTGCATTTTCTGTCCATAAAGTGTGACTTTTTTTGTCCTTCTAATCGTGCCAACCCCCGTTCACACAAACCAAACAGTTCCTCTCATCATTATCCAGAATAAACATCCATTGGTGCTTCAGCAAACGCGACACAAAACACATCCTGGGTGACCTGAGGATTTTCCCTATGGGAAAGTCATTATTAAACGGCACCTGGTGTTTAGAACAGCAAATAGAAAAACTGTCATTACAAGCCCCATTCATTTCGTGGCCCATTCATTTCATGGCGTGGTAAATGGCGAAATGGACGTTTATATTGAGGAAGCTGATGACCCATTTTCAGTCATCAGTTGAGTGTAACAGGACGAGTTTACGGCAGAGGAAATGTAGAGCCTGCTCTTTCAAAAAGAGATGTGTCAGCAGCAGTGGAGCTTTCCTCGCTCACTTCGGTTCGTCCTACCCCTCACCCCTACAATTCATTTTAAGATACTTATTGAACTCCATGTTTAGCTGTTACCCTGGTTTTAGTTTAACAATTTGAATGTCACCCAGTGTTGTGGAAGAGGAAGGTGGGATATCCTCATAGATTTCCTTCTAGAAAATCCTGCCACACGAGTTGAGCAACAATGGCTCTGTGCTCCCTCTCAGTCAAGCCTTTGCCATTTTCTACCCTCTGCTGCTTTCACAGAAGACAACCATGTGTTTCAAATTAAGTCTCGTATTTCATTTTAAATAAAAGTTATACTGAAAGATATGTTGTTTCAAAAAACAATAACAATGAAAGCTGACAACGTTCACCTCATACTCTTGTTTGGGCTGTGAGAAGGAAATTGATTGGAAATTCACTGTATCGGAAAATTACAGCTTTGGTTGCTAGAAAGTTCCAGATGATGTAACGTTTTTTAACATTTTTTATTGTGTGTCTGACCACCTATCAAATAAATGATTAATATCTGCTCTCCTTTTAACTCTGTTTTAGGCCTCCACCAATATGAGGGACATATCTGGCTGGCTAACTGTTTTCTTACTAATCTTCATATTGCCAAAAATCTATTATTCTTTTCAGTCCCAGCCCAAGTACAGTCTACTGGAACAATAAAACAATAAAACACCCAAACTCAAATTGATCACATTGCAGAAACATATAACTGAAAGGGATTGGTCCCACACTGTCACACTGTCTCCCGGTCCAAATACCACATGGAATGATGGCACTTGGAGCGGTCCGCTCCTGTTTGCCAGATCTGGGCCACAAGTAAGCCATAGCAATACCACATGTCAACCAAAGGTGCCAGAGGTGGCCCAGACTTGTTTTGTGCTATTTGGGCCATTCGCCATTTACCACATGGCCAAAATTCCATCCCTGGCCTTAATTAAATCAAGAATACTTCATTAAGTGACATGAGTCTCAGGTTGCTTATCACAGATACAACCGAAAGAAAACCTTTTACTTATATACTTTTACTTATGTAAAGAGG